CGCAAAATCAAAAGAAAAAACGCGCATGCGCAAAATCAAAAATATAGCATGCCGACAACTTACCTATCATATCCTGTGTGTTTGCATTATATTTGTCTACACATTTCTTTCAAATTAAAAGTCGTATAAGCAAAGTATATATATCTATATCTAATAGAATTAAATTTATATATTTATTTATATATATATATATATATATATATATATATATATATATATATATATATATATATATAATGATGTATCTAGACAGCAATCCCTCTTTTATACATGTTTCGTTAAAGACGACTGACTAGGTACTGCAATTAAGCTTTTTATTTAATTTTCTTGTGCCCGTACAAATTTCTTCTTTTCTGGATACAAAGTGTATAAAAAAAGTGTGTAAAAAGTTCTGCATATCCGAGCGCTTTCGGCTATTCTTTTATCAAAGACGATTTTTATTTTTAACTAAATATGTGTTTTTTATGCTTATGTCTAAAGTTATAGGAATGTTTTATTTCCTAACACGGTCAGCACATTGTGGCCGTGTTCATAGTTAATGTTATTGCGTATTGGATTTTCCTTTTTTATTATTAGGGCTTCTATTAATTTTTTATCTTTTTTACATTTTTTTTACATGTGGATGCGGCTATTATATTTGTATTTTCTACTAGTATAGTTCGGATGGGTCCTGGTAGTTTTTGTGTGTTTAAATGAATACTAATGGAGCTATGGTCGGGTAGGTGTAACATAAGTCGTCTAGTAGTGTGACCAATGTAATTATATATGAGTTTGGACAGAGCCGATTGCCATAAAAAAATTGAAACGCATCATCGACGATCGTTCTAAATTTATCAAATTAAACAAAAAACATCACGGAGGCCCTAAAAAGAGCCATCAAAAACTGATAAGATCAAACAATGGCGACGTATGTTCCCTGAAAATCAAAAAAAAATATCATCGGAGACTGCCAACCAGAATAGCTATACAGAAATATAAAAATACATAAAACTGGATACCCACTACGACACATCATTTCCCAGATCCCAACCCCTATCTGCGAGCTATCAAAATTCCTTAACGATATCATCACTCCATACCTACCTAACAATTACAGCATCATATCAACCCACGAATTTCTTCAAATGCTACAAACTATACAACCAACCCAAGGTATTTTAGCCCGTCCTGGGTATGACGATAAACTACATCCGTTTCCTGGGTATGACCATAAACTACATCCGTGTCCTGGGTATGACGATAAACTACATCCGCGTCCAAAGTAAGACGATAAACTACGTCCAACAGCAAAGCCTCTGATCAGAATGCTTTGAGGAGCGTGGAACCACCTCTTAATTGCTGGTGTTCCCAGGTCCACCCTGACCCGGTGTGGTAGCACCTGTTAGGGTCCCAGCTAGGGACAAATAGTTAACCCCGAAACTGAGGTAAAAAGCATTATGAAAGTGTAAAAATAGTGTTTTAATACCAGAAAAACTTAACAGTAAGTTTAAAAAAATATTACCAGCAATACATTTTTTAAAATATTATTACCAGCTATACATTTTTTGAGGAAAAAAATATTACCAGAAATAGATTTTTGACAAAACAAAATATTACTAGGAAAAAAAAGTTGTCGGCATTAAATGACCCATTGAGGTTGATATACTGTTGTGGAGTGATTTCACAGTGAAGGCTTGTATTTGTACTAAGTCGGTCCTAAAATAGGTTCGACGTACAAAACGTTAGGAACTTGATATAATAGGTATGACGCAGTGAAAACTAGTTGTGGTCGCTGATACTTTAGTATCCGACTAACGGTCGTCCGGCATCGACTGACTGACCGACCCACTGAGCCCTGACTGACTGCTCGTTACTCTTACTACTCCTACTTATTATAGGTTGAGAGTCTATTAACTATAGAATAGGTGTGTTTCACTATAACATATACCATAAAACAAAACAAGCCAAACCAAACCAAGGTATTTTAGCGTCACTCAACGTTGAAAATTAATTTACAAACGTCCCCTTTGATCAAATTATCGACATAATCCTTAACTCTGTCTATAAAAATAATTCCATTCCACCTCTATTCATTAAACCAAATATCCTCAAAAATTATTGCATGCCTGCACAACTAAAGTCCCTTTCTACGACCATAATGGCAATATGTCCACTCAAATTATTTCAGTGTTTCTCCAACTATTACATGTCCCACGTAGAAAACACGATATTTAAACAAGTCACTAAACCCACTATGTCGACGATATTTTTTAGCGAAAGACAAACAAGAAATTTATAATCTCAAAAATACATTCGAAGAAAACTCTTTCCTTAACTTTAGCTATGAACGGAGTCAAAAAAATAAACACTCATTCTTAAACGTTCTAATAGAATTCAATAAGAACACATTCACTACTTCATTATATAAAAAACCCACTGGCAGAAACTCTTGTCATCTTAATTTTAAGAGTGAATGCCCACTTAGATATAAAATAGCAATTATAAAAAAAATCTTAAAGAG